ATTTATTTATTTTTTTAATTTATTTATTTTTTTAATTTATTTATTTTTTTAATTTATTTATTTTTTTAATTTATTTAATTTTTTTATTTGGATCAATTTTTTTAAAAATTTTATGTTTTAGCTAATTTCTCAAAGAACTATTAGCCGTAATCTTCGCAAAGCTAACCTGGTCTTACGGGTTGCTCACATAAAGCCTTTTATTAGTGATAATACTAAAAAAGAGTATAAAGATTGGGCAGAAAAGTATCTTACTTGGATGACTAAAGACTGAAAAATGTTCTCTGGTCGAATAAAAAGTATTTTACTTTAGTCCATTCTAATTCATATCAGCACGTATGGAGGAGGCCAGGCGAAGAATTTAATGACGATTGCCTTGTTTTAGCAATCAAGTCTAAAGGGATTATGATGTGGGAATGTTTTTCTTGGTGGGGTCTTGGTCTGTTTATCCGTTTCCACAGCAGTATTACAAGTGCATCTTATCGTAGAACACTTATTCGTTAAGCCATCTCTAAGCTTCAAGACCAATTTCCCAACAATAATGGGATATTCCAACATGACGGTACCTCGGTCCACAGAGACAAACCTGTTAAAAGATATCTAGCAAATAAAAGTATTAAAACTTTTAAATGCCTCCATATAGCCCAGACCTTAATCCTATTGAGAATCTTTGGTCCGAGGTTGAAGCAAAGCTCTGAAAACATTGCCCAAGACCTGGCAATCTTAATGAGCTTGAGAGGATGGTTAAGGAAGAATGTGAGGCATTAGCTCCGAGTTATTATAGACATCTTGTTGAAAGTAAGGTAGACTGTGTTCAAGTGGTATATGATAATGATGGTGATCATTCGCATTATTAATTTTATATATAATGGTTATTTGCTTTCAAGTTTAATAAATAAATAAATAAAAGTAGAAATAAATAAATAAATAAAATATGAAAAATAAAAACAACAGAAAAAAAAAAGCGAAAAAAAACAAAGAATACAAGAAACTAATGTCTAAACCTATATTGATGCATTAATAAAGTATCGAGAAGGTGACTTTACCTATAAGGCATGCCCTAACTCTAACCCAAACTCCAACTTAAATTAAATAGTCAAAAACATATAAAATAATAAAAAGTAAAACAGAGGCATGGTGGCTTAGTGAAGTGGTCTAGTCGTCACCCTCTCCAAGCGGCAGGTCTAGAGTTCAAATCCCACGGACAACGATTTTGAAAAATAGATTTGTGTTTCAGTAACCTGTATAAGATGATTGGATTAGGGTATCTGTAACTTAAGTCACACCAGGGCATAGTATTT